GACCAATCTTGCAAATGTTCACATGAGTAATCCTTCCTCAGATGAATAATCCCTCTGACCACAGCAGCTTGATTAACAACAATGCAGATTAAGGTTTTCAGGATCGGGCCCATCCCCTGATGCTTGGGTACTCATCCGACGTTTAGCGGATGATGGTCCTTCTCCTTTTGTTAGATGTATTTGAGGCCCACATGCAGCTCTCAATTATTTTATTTGATTACGTAGCTAATAGGCCCTGATCCTGTCAGCACTCCCTAGAAAGCCAAACAAGCTGAAGTAAACAATCCCAGCTGAGTTAGAAGACTTGGCAGGATTGGGCCCTTTAATAGTAGCTGAAAGCTGTATCTTTGAATCGTGACCAGAACGTCTATCTTTGCTACTAACAGTCTCATATTGTATTTGGAAAAATCTCAATATAATAAGCTAGCAGAGAATCTGGGAGTATATGGGCTCATATAGCTACTTAGATCTAAAGAAGGATAAATTACTGTTTAAAAACAAAATTGACACATATTGTTTATTTATTTGGAACAAAACTATTTTCTGTCATTCAGTGAATGATGGTTCTGTGTGTTGTGGGTCCAGGGTTTTGAAGTCCAGGAGAAGAATCCCCCTCCAGCAACCTTTCAGCCTATTCCTGCCTTTCTGTCCTGGTTTTGGCTGGGATAGAGTTAATTTTCTTTCTAGTAGCTGGTATAATGTTATGTTTTGGATTTGGTATGAGAATAACGTTGATAACACACTGACGTTTTCAGTCGTTGCTAAGTAGTGTTTATCCTAAGTCAAGGATTTTTCAGCTTCTCATGCCCAGCCAGCGAGAAGGCTGGAGGGGCACAAGAAGTTGGGAGGGGACACAGCCAGGACAGCTGACCCAAACTGGCCAAAGGGGTATTTCATACCGTGTGATGTCATGCCCAGTATATAAACTGGGGGGAGTTGGCTGGGGGGGAGGAAAGGGGTGAGGGCAGATCGCTGCTTGGGAACTAACTGGGCATTGGTCCTCGAGTGGTGAGCAATTTCACTGTGCGTCACTTGTTTTGTACATTCCAATTCTTTTATTATTATTTTGTCATTTTATTACTATTATTATCATTATCATTATTATTTTATTCCTTTCTGTCCCTTTTATCATTATTATTTGATTCCTTTCTGTCCTGCTAAACTGTTCTTATCTCAACCCATGAGTTTTACTTTTTTCCCGATTTTCTCCCCCATCCCACTGGATGGGGGGGAAGTGAGTGCACGGCTGCGTGGTGCTTAGTCGCCGGCTGGGGTTAAACCACGACACTTTCTTCTTTACTTGCTCATTTCCTAGAGAATTAAGATAGTGAGGAGTGATGTACCACTGTGCCCCCCTTCCCTGCACCACACGGTGTTCATTAAAAACTTGCTGCTAGCAAGGGCCTGATCCAGCCCTCCTGGAAGTCATTGGAAAGCTGTCTATTGACGTCATGGGGACGAGGAGCATACTAATGCATGCAAGTACCTTTACTAATGCGGGCAGTCCTGTTAACAACACCGAAGTTGTTCACAGGATTAACAGCAATCAATCAAGCCCTTTGAAAGGCACATTAAAAGCCAAAGCCTGGTCTGCAAACCCTTTCTCACAGGAGGTGTGTGTATACCTGTGGCTGGTCCCACAGCATCTCTCTGCTCCCAGCCTAGAAACGTCAGTGCATTTTTCTAGCTGTACTTGATTCGGGGTAGCATTTCTTCTGGGGAGGTAAAAATTGCTGGCAATCTACCCCAAAATAAATATGTTTGTGTTCCCAAAAAAAGACACTAACCAGACTGAGGAGCGGGAGCAAACAGGGTTATTAAAGGGGTTGGGAGGGGGTTGCTTTTTCCCTGCAAGCAGGGACATTAAAAAAAGGGGGGTGGGGGGGGAATTTCAAGTGCTTTCTTTTAGTTCCAAGCAGATAAATAATTTTTACTCTCTAGGAGAAACTAGAGCCTGTTACAAAAGACCTTATTCTTACAAAATTCCTGTGGCCTCCCCTGCTTATGGATTGCTGAACTGGACCCACTGTGATTACACTGGGAACATTTCTCACTTGGGAACTGTTCAGCAAAGGCTGGTTTATAGATAACAATTTCACTCCTCCTTTGCCTGTATCTGTTTAAAATCCAGTACAGCCCCTTGTACATGTGTAAAGGTGCTTATGGGGTATTGCTTATTTCCATCCACAGCAGCAGCTGTGTTCATCTCAGAGCCCTTGTAGCAATATTTGTGTCCGTATTATTTCATCCTGCCACCCCTCACAGCTGTGCCTGTGCACCAGGGGGCTGTACTTGAACAGCATCCATTTCTAAATGACTATACTTACGGCTCTGTGAAAACGGGGCGTGGACCAGCTCAAAGTTTCAAAAAATATATATTGTTATAAAAGGGACACCCTCGCTCAGCAACAAAACGACTCTTTTCACTGCCCTGTTCTTTTAATTGGCTTTCTTTTGGGATAAGCTGTGATTGCAGGCGGAGCGGCCTGCTCACGGACAAGGTGTTAACAGAGCTATCCCTGGGATGGATCAGTGCCGGATGCTGTTTCACTTTTCGCTGTAGTGGCTATTCCTTCCTGAAAAAAAAGGTTTAACAAGTCTTTCAGTGAGCTTTCCTAGCTCTATCAAGGGTGAGGTTTTAAGGTTCAGAAAGAGCGGATATTAAGATTTTTAATGTCCTGGTTCAGGGCGGGGAGGGGGGGTGGGGGGGTGCCAGGAGATTTTGTTTCATGCGGGTTCTGTTGTTGTTGTCATTCTTTTATCACAGTCCAAGGCACAAGGCAGGATTTGAAAGCAGGTGAGTCACGGGGCTGTGATTTGGGAGAGGGGCTGTCTGAGGGTTTTACCCTCCCTGCAGCTCGTAGGCTGTCAGATCTCCGTGTCTTTAGCCTTTAAACGTTGTAAGTGCGTGCTCGGG